TGAAGAATACTATGACCAAGAAGTATATATAAGTGAAACAGAAAATGATGAATCAGGATCTGAATAAAGAGATTGAAGAAATAGAAAGTAATAATATAAATATACAAGAATATGAAGGAATAGAAGGATGTGGATTAAAAATTACTTTTGATAATAACAAGTTTAGAAAATTGCAAAAATTATCATTAGACTTAAAAACTAGAACATAGAGCTTTATACACATTTACCAATTCTAACTATGGGAATATTTATTTCAATAAACAATATATTGAAGTTCATAATGAATGTAAATATATTAGTAAAATAATAGAACCAAATAAACAAATAAGTTTAATTCCAGAAGAATATGAATTTAGTATAGCAAAAAATAAACCTGAAATAACAGAATTAAATGGAGGAAAATGTTCTAATAACATAACATTTAAGGATGAAAATAAAAACCAGTTAGAAGAAATCAACAAAATAAAAAAAGTAAAACTGTATAGGAATGCTGGAAACATGAAAATAGAAGGAGAATATTATAATGGTAGAAAAAATATAAATGGACCAAATATATTAATAGATACAGGAGCTAGTGAATGTCATATAATTTCGATTAGAAATAAAGGACTAATAACTCATAAAACTGAACCGTATAAGTATGTAAATTTTGATGGACAAATACATATAACAGATTTAGAAGTTAAGGTACCAATAAAAATAGGAGGAATAGATCTTTTAGTACCATATTACATAGCTAGAAGTATGGATATAAACCCTTATATATTTTTAGGAATGAGTTTTCTAAATGGATTAGAAGATTATAGTATAAAAAGAGAAGGATTATATATTGTTCATAATGGACAAACTACATTATGTAAAAAAAATTAGATAAATAATTAGATAAGTTTTCCATTAGTTGTGTATATACAAATTACTATTATAGAAACAAATATAACAACTTGTGCTTTAATAGATACAGGAAGTGATATAACAATATTTAAAAGTTTTTTAATAAAATCATAGAATAATAATAGTAGTATAAAAATAACTGGTGTTACAAGATAAAGTACTCAGATAATTAATAGTGCTGATAAAGTTAATATAATTCTTCGAAGTAAACAATTAACAATAAATAAAATTTATAAATATGATAAATTAGAATGTGATATGTTATTAGGAAATGATTTCATACAATAATTTCAATTTTATAAACAAAATAATTATATGATAATGCAACAAATACTTTGTGGACACTTATTAAAAATTCCTAGAGAATTTAAATCTTATAGAGTTCAGCCAGCCCAGCATGGTGATAAATGGGAGAAAAAACAATTTCTTAATAATGAAATAAAAAATAAAAGAATATTATATAAAAAGGTTCTAAAAACAGGAATAGAAATGAATATAGAGAAAATCATTGAACAATTAGAAAATATTTAAGGAGAAAATCCATTATTATTTTGAAAACCACATCACCCAAAAGCCAAAATAGAATTAACAGAAAATATTATAATAAAAGTAAGACCAATAATGTATACAATAGAAGATACAAAAGAATATAAAAATCAGATAAAAGAATTGTTAGAATAAAAACTTATTAGACCTAGTAATGGACTTCATAGTAGTCTAGCCTTTATGGTTATGAAACACTCTAAACAAGTTAGAGGAAAAGTTAGGATGATCATAAATTATAAAGAATTAAATAAATATACTAAATTTGATGGTTACTTTCTACCAAATAAAGAAGTGTTAATAAATCTTGCGAGAGGAAAACAATATTATTCTAAATTTGATTGTAAATCAGGATTTTGACAAGTAAAAATGGAAGAAGATAGTATACAATATACTGCATTTAGCACACCTCAATGAAAATATGAATGGTTAGTTATGATGCTATTTGGTTTGAAAAATGTACCACAAATATATCAAAGAAAGATGGATAACATATTTAAAAACTTTAATGAATTCTCTAATAGTTTATATTGATGATATATTAATATGTTCTAATAGTAAAGAAGAGCATAGAAATCATTTAATCCAATTTATTAACGAATGTAAAAAAGAAGGAATTATATTATTTAAAAAGAAATCTATAATAGAAAAACAAGAGATAGATTATCTCGGATTATCAATTGATAAAAGAGGAATAAAATTACAGACTCATATATCCAAAAAGATAGAAAATTTTTCAAATAAATTAGAATCCAAGGAACAAATTCAAGATTTATTGAAAATCTTTATAAGAAATGACATAAAATCCAAGTTTTACTTAGAAAAATAAATACTAAGGGATGGAATGAAAAACATACAAAAATAGTTAAATCATTAAAAGAAGAATGTAAAAATCTAACAAAATTAAGATTACCAGATGAAAAAGATAATTTGATTGTTAATACCGATGCCTCAGATAAATATTGGACAGTAATACTAAAAATAGATCTTAATGAAATTTGTAGATACTCAAGTGGAACCTTTAACCACGTAGAAATAAATTTTACTACTCATAAAAAAGAATTACTAGCAATTATTGGAGGAATAAAAAAGTTCTCATTATTTTTATTATCCAAAAAATTTATTGTTGAAACTGATAATTCTCAAGTGTAGGATTAGTCAGGAATAAGTTACACTCAGAACCACAATACAGAAGGCTTCATAGATGACAAGCTTATTTAGCATTTTATAATTTTGATATAATCTATATTAAAGGAGTTAATAATTTTCTTGCAAATTTTCTCAGCAGAAACATAGAATTTGCTGATGAATAAAGCCAATGCCATGGAGTTATATCAATATATTATACATATACAAGAAAGAACAAATTTTCTTAAAGAAGAATCTGAAAATATAAGTTCTGGAGCAACCCAGATCTCAGAGATATTCAACTCAAATATGAAAATATTATTGAATATCACTACTGAGCATCATAAAATATGCTATAGAACTCAAAAATCAAGTTGATACTATTGCAGCACAATTAAAAAATATATTATTTGAAACAGATATACCAAAGAGCTCAAAAATGAGTTTTCCAAATCAATACCAAACAGGGACAGTTGAAAGCAGCAGTGGACCTAGACGTAACAACATACCAACTGGTAATAAAGGAGATTCCATTTCTGTATCATTAACCAAGAAAGTTATGTTACATGGAGATAAAAGGGATACCAAAACAATTAGCATCATAGACCAAGAAGATAAAATTTCTTTAGATCCAAACGAAGAAAAATATGCCGAAATAGTAAAAATCGCTTATGAAATAAAAATAAGTGATTCATATTTCATTTCTCCGGAAAATAATGTTTACCACAGAATAACAGTTATGGAAGGAGGTGACCCTTCATTTATAAAAATCATGACAGATTATGGATTCATGGATCTAATTTATCCAGGAAAATATTTTATTGAGATTTCAAAGTTTGATGACATATTCATTAAGGAAGTATACATATTTGCCAAAGGAATGAAGCTATTTTTAAAATTCTATTCAATCAGTCCAGAATATGATGGAGTTGTTTACTATCCAATTGAACACATAATCTCAATTGAGATATGTTGCGGCCAATTTCCAAATTGATGTTATAGAGAATAATAGAAAAGTCCCAACAGTGACAAAATCATGGATCAGATATAGAAGAACACTTGGAGTTAAAGCCATCTACAACATTGCCAAAAATTTATTTGATAAAAAATTCTCGTGTCTATGCCAATATGAAAATTGGATGTTGGTATCCAATAGAGGATATGCAAAATCAAAAATTTTAAAAGAATATATTACAAGATTTGATATATATCAATTTTCAAGATGTCCTACCACTATAAAAGAATCCTGCCAACTAAAGGAATGTCCCAATTGTATGTAAAGAAATAAAAGAAGAAGACAAAACACCTTTTAACAAAGGTATACGAAGGACAATAATACTACATGTGAAGATATTGAAGATAAAGAGCAATAATAGAAAAATATGCTCTTTGGATAGAAAAGTTGAACCAGCATGTGAAGATGTAGGCTCGAGGAAGAAAAGAGAAAGGCAAGTATGCCTTGCTAATGTATTCAATGATGTAATAGAGTCTCAAAAACTTGTATAAATAGAGACATTATCATAGAAGAATATCATCTCATCATATCTTGAATTCTTGAGTTGTAAGCTATAACCCATTCTTAGTTTTAAAAAAAAAACTAATTTTTCTGGAAATCCCTTTGCACCAAAATAGAAGTCTTATATCAATCTTAATAGAAATAAAATTACAATATTTTGATATCAATATGAGTTTCTAAATCTTTTTCTCATAAATTCTTGAAAGATCTAATAGAAAATTTCCTTCTTATTTTAGTAAAAAAAGAGTTTTTCTTTAACAGAAGTTTAGAATTTTATTCTGTAGAAATTGATACAGTGAGAGCAAGTAGTTGAAATAGTAACAATTCCGTGAAGACAGGAGGCCATTGAAGGAAGCAGTTTACAAATTCAGAGCTCGAAAGTTACTCGATTCTAAAAATACAGGTCTAGATCAAACCTAAGGTAAAACTATTAAACTTTTGCTAAAATTAGAATGAATCTTTTTAAGATCTTAAAAGACTCGCAAGAACAATTGCATGATTATTATTTTTGATAAATGTCAAGATATACAATTGAAGGATTAAATAATTTATGTTAGAAGAAATGAAGAATATTATATCTCAATTAGAAAATGTGAATTTACCATTTGAAAAATATGTATATTGCAGATTATTCCTATTTATTATTTCATAGAATGATTTTATATTTAAATATTTAAAATAGAGTAAATAGAAGATAAAATGATTAAAAGATAAGGACATATATTGTAATATAGAAAAAATCATTTCATTAAGGATAATATAGCCCTTTCCATAAAAAGAAACGGTGATACGTCAAATAGAAAAATCGACGCCACGGGTGCATTCCACAGCCACGTCGTCAATTTCGTTAAAATTTAAGACGAAAGTTAGAAATGTAAATATTTTTCAAAGTTTAAAGCCTTCATTTAAAATTTATTGTGCAATTAAAGACGTGATCCAAAGATTAAAACTGATATTTTTAAATTGGAGCAATCGAAGACATGACTCGTGACGATTTGGAAGTTGGAACAATTAACTCCATTATATTAACTAATTTTTAGGGCTTTTGATATTTTTGGTTAATTAGGCGATCTAAATTTTGTTGTCTGTTTGAATACTGGAAAGCTCAAGTACACTCTTAACTTCAGTATTCATCATTGGCGGAACAGACAACTCGAGGCTGTTTTGATTTTCAAGTTGATAATCGGGTTAGCCAAGTAGTTTTTGTTTTTCGTTTTAATTTACAAGTCTTGATTATGATTTTTTTTTTAGTTTTTGCACTGGAAAATGGAAAAAATAGGAGCGCTGTTTTAATGAAATTATTAAATATTATTCAATTGCCTTATTTGAGTAACAAAACAAGCACTGCATGTACCAAATTTTTAAGACCAAGAATATTTAAAAATAATTTACTTCTGCAGTTGTACTCTAGTATTCGGATTGAACTGGATTGAGTTTTTGCGGGTGATATATGATTAGTGTTGACGTATGAATTACTAAAAGATTGTTATTGTGTGAGACTAATGGAAACATTCCAACTCTCCAAGGATGCTCAAAACAAATATGCTACTCTGCATCTGCTTTTCAGTTTAATAAAGTTTGTTACGAAACCATGAAATCATAATGCCGGTAAGTTCAAGTAATTAGAAGTAATGAAGCATATGATAAAACATAGTGGGACTTTATGCTGCCAAGGTTGAAGTTTCTTGAGAATTAAGATGGGGATAAAACTATTTGTACAAAATTTGGTTGGCAAAATGGTTTACTCATTCTCACGTGCATACAGGTCCCCCTTGCATTAAAAAATTCAGCAATATATATATATATATATATATATATATATATATATATATATATATATATATA